CCAGCTATGTTTTGATGGGGTCTGTTTTTTTTGAAAACATGAAAAATTGTTTATGTGAAGTTTGTATGCCACGGGAAACCTGGTTTCTTGCAGGCAAATTATTTCCGGTTTGGTTTCATATAATAAGAGTTTGTAGTGTTCTAGTCGTGTGAAGTACCTAACCGTTGAGATTCCATTGTATTATCGTAGTAGACATCGGAGCAATTAATAAAATTCGGACTCAGAGGAGTCGATGTGGGAAATTTCTTGGTCTTTGTCAAGGTGTGAGGTTCCATTGATTTCCAATTGTTCTTGTTTTAATTGTTTATTTATTTTAGTTAGAAGTCGAGTAAATTTGCCTTTGCATTTACTATTAGTTAATTTTGTACGCAATTCTGTTATCATTTGTTTGAGTGCCTGTGTGTTGTCTGAATAGAGCCTTGAGATGTTAAGCGGGTCAGGAGAACTTGTAGCTTCTAATGTGAATTTTTTAAATTCCATAATACTTAAAGGATGTTGGGTTGTTACATAGATTTGGATCTTATCCAGCTCTGTGTCTAACCCTTCTGGGCTAATTTGGCTCGCTTGGTCCGTTTCTCGTTTTTTAATCTTCTTTTTTTGTTTGTGGGATTCGCTGTTAGGTTGGGTAAAGATGTGGGTGGTTGTATCAAATACATGTGGATCCATAGAGTGGCTTGAGGAATCCGTAGTGATAGAGATCGTTCGTTTGTAAGATGGTGTGGTTGAGGGTGTGTTGTCGATTTCAATGTCTTCTCTTGGGTGCATTGTGGTGGTCGTTGTTATCTTTTTTTGATTAACCAGAGTATTTAAATTTGTGTAAGTTGATTTTTGTTCAACGTCCAAGATAGTGTGACGTCTGTTTATCGGTAATTGGGTGATTTGGTTGGTTCTTATATTGCGATTGGCGGAGGGTTCGGAGTAAGTGCTTGACATTTCTACAGTAGGGGTGTTTATGCGTTTGTTACAGTTACTTTCTGCATGCCCAGTCTGTTGACATCTGTCACATGATTGGTTTTCAGCGTTGAGGAAAATACGATGCTTCTCTCCGTCGTGTATTATAATCATGGATGGTGGTAGGTTTTTTGCGGTTTCAATGTCTACGTAGGTGTACCGCCTAAAGCTTATTATGTGGGAGTACTGCGGATTTTCTAGGCCGGTTTTGAGAAAGACAGTGTCGGATGATAATTTTAGTGTTAACTGATGTACGAGTTTCTTTTCCAGAACCGCATTTGGAATGATCGGTGATACGTTGGAGATTGTAAGTTTTGTGAGGTTGAAATTAGTCGTCGGATTGCTATGACATTATTATCTATAGTAATGCTTTTTGTTGTTGATATTAGATCGTCAACGCATCTCTCATTTTTAAGGTATATGCAGATCTGGTTATTTGGAATTCTGGATGCAGCTATTATGTTTGATGGGTTAATTATGGAGCCAATACTGTATATGTAGTCTTTAATTTTTATTGTATTTATCGCATTGAGCACGATTGCTTGTTGTTTTGTTGGGTGCTTAAAAGATCCGGATGATTTGGCTATATTAGAGTAGCTGGTGGGTTGATGTAATTGTGAAGTCATTTTTATAGTCCCCAACACAATGTTGGGGTATTATTTACGTAAATTAATTAGTAGTAATATTATATAGTTAGGTTGATGTCTTTGAAAAACAACAACTATACAGAGTAGAAATTAATTTCCAAAAAGAACAACCCAAAAAATTTCTACCAAACTTTCAAAAGTAAAATTAAACGCAACACGAAAAAGGAAAAAGGCAATTTGTCCAAAAACTAGAGAATAAGTAAAACATAAAAACTACGAAAAACCAAGATATTTGTTTGTTTTTACTATCAAATTGATTCTCCAGTTCTTAAACTTCAATGAATTATTCGAAAAATGAATTCATCGACAAGATTGCCTTTTTTAGCATGGTCGCCGTATGTAAATTACATAGGTATAACTTATTTAAGATTACAATATAAAAACCAGGAAAACGAAGATTGGTATAGGACATTGTTATCAAAAGTTGAACGTTGTTGGAGGGCTAAAAGACGACAGAAAAATATAAAGGATGTTACATTTAAAAAAAGTGAGATTTTTTAATATGAAGTTTTGTAACTACAAAAAATACCCTGTAAACGATTTTTTAATGTTTCATAGTAGATATATTTGACTTTAGGATAAAAGGTATAGAACTTGGAATCAAAATTTAAGTCATAATTTTGACAATATACTGACGCCGGCAAATGAAAAAGATTGGGCTACTAGTTGAAAAGTTACAGCCCTTTGAATTTTCTTCCGAAATTGGTTTCTTGTCTATAACTTTTGATTGAGAAGTCTAATCGAAAAAGTACGAATTGTTTTGGATTCTACGCACCAAAATTAATAAGAAAAAATGTTTTCCCGAGAAATTTTGGTGTAGTCGATTTTTGATAAAAAAAGGAAGGTTATAATACACTGCCCTTTTTTGAGCCCGAAAAAAAAATTGTCTCAGATCGATCCGGAAAAAAATGTTCTTATAGAATGTGGCCTGTAGAATCCATAATTTCAAACAGTTCCAAGATTGGGCTACTAGTTCAAAAGTTACAGCCCTTTGAATTTTCTTTCGAAATTGGTTTCTTGCGTCTATAACTTTTAATTGAGAAGTCTAATCGAAAAAGTACGAATTGTTTTGGATTGTACGCACCAAAATTAATAAGAAAAAGTGTTTTCCCGAGAAATTTTGGTGTAGTCGATTATTGGTGAAAAAAGGAAGGTTATACACTGCCTTTTTTTGAGGCCCGAAAAAAAAATTGCAAGTTTTTCTTACAAATCGAACTAGTTTGACAGATATTAATCTTATAGAAAGATGAAAATAGAAAATCCATTGGTTGCAGAGGCCGTTTGCTACAATTTTACTTTACCCCGCAGGGGTTGGGTTACTGCTGTATGTTTCAAAGATGGGTTGTACCGTGCTTCGAATATGTAGCAGTAAACCACGTAACATTTCTGATAGAGGGTATCCCGTCTGCTAATATCCTTTCAGGAAAAGCATTTTGCAAATAGTTAATAATTTTTTGTCAAACATTTCAAATTTTGAGGTGGGATCAAGCCAAAAAAAATGACAAGTTTCATTACATACCTAACTATAGGTACCCGAGCATAAGTAAAATTCACCTTCAGTACTCTTTCTTCTTAGCAGAAATTATTAGCGATAAAGAAATGCCTAAGTGATCAGACATGCACGACGTATCCAATGTACTTATGTACTTACTAAATGCTTAGAAGACTTTATTTGTGTACCTAAAGGTTAAATACTTTTTTTCGCGTAGGAACATTGATCAATTTACTCGTATTAAAGCCAAAACTTTGGAAGATATCAGTTACTATTTTAGTGATGGGTCAATTGTTTAAGTTAAAAGTTAAAACGCACGTTAAAATCTTCCGCAACGGCAACGCTTTTGGGAACTTGTCAAGAAAAATAGCAATTATAATTGAATTGTGTATTTTAAAGTAGGTAAATGCTTGATATTTTGCAGTGGAGTTCTGCAGAGAGCTCATTAATGTTTTGTAAGTTCTAAAACTGGAGATATGGGACAGATCAATCTCACAGAAAATATTCAAAGGAAAAACGTTGAGACTATTAGGTTCACAAAAAAAGTGTTCCTCAAAACTGCGGGACCCATCAGACTCTTGTACCGAGTTACCCAAGAATTTGAATGAAAATTCTTTCTTGGAAATGGCAAATTTTGGCGCAAGCGGTCGATTGAGTTGACAAATTATCGAGCCTCCTAGTCGCTGGACAACTAGGTTTAGTTTGTGTCCAGTTTAATTCTATTAGAAACACAGCAAACAGCACAAAGTTAGATAATTGTATAGAAACAATCCGAATGACCCGTATTTCACAAAAAAATTTCTTCATTCAATTGTGTCTCCAATTCTCACATCATTATTTAATTGCACTCCAGTCTAGTACACTTTCACGGCTCTTGTTACTTTTAACTGGTAGGTAGTAGGATTTCGGTTTGAAATTACGCCATAGCTTAATTGAACGGTAGGTCGACGAATCATTTTTCAAGAATTACCGACGATTGTATAATCTTGGTACTTTTTAAATGGTTTACGTGACCTCACCAGACGTATTTTTTTATTGAAACGAACGGAATTTAAAAATTAGGTTGATGGTGGGAAGAAATTGTAACTTCCCTTTTCAGCGTAATGCAACTTCCTTCCATTTTATTGTCTCAATTCTGAACAAACACGCTCACATTGCACTAAAAATAATGCATAAATTATAATGCGTGCGGGGTTGGGCCGTCGTCCTCCCTTTTAGTTTTGTGGGATATGCAGGTAGGTAAAACAGCTGGAATAAAAATTTGCACCGTTGCGGTTTGGGGCAACGTAAGACCTACTAAGCATACTTTGAGAAATTATCAGGACGGCTGACAGTAAGCAGTTTTATAAAATATCCTCAATTTGAAAGCGCCAACTTTTTCCTTAGTTGTACATCGCCTTTAAAATTAAAGGGGAACCGTTCTCGTACTTGGCGTTCATCCAACTCTCTTCTATCCAACATCCTGCCAGTACAACTATCCTTCTTCCTCGACAGCTCGTATTTGTTTTGTGAAAAGGTTTATGTTTGAAAAACAAAGTAAAAACAAATATCTTTTCAACCAACTAAAAAATATCGCCGAACATTTCTTGTAGAAATTTTCGAGCGGCCAAAATGCAATTGTATAGTTCGGCCGAAGTATTTTATAGTGGTCGCTAGTCCCATAACCCAAATTTTTCTTGCGTAGAAAAAAAAGTGTAGGAGTTCCAGAATTCCCCACTAGTTCAAACCACCACCTAAAAAGCGGTGGGGGTTTAGTTAGCCTTCCAAAACTTAAAAATGCCGCCGCGAGTAACCGAATCGATACGAGCGTTTGCTGTCACGTGCTTCCAGCTTGGACCAATAGCGAAAGAGAGGTAGAAATTCTAGTTTCGAGTTGAACTCAAAATTTGTTGCACGCTAGTTCGAAACGAGCTGCGTGAGGGTGGGTTAGTACAAGTGGTCGTGTGAACAGTACGTAATGTGAGTGATAGTGGTTTCAACTATGATGGAGGATCCGACGCAGATTCTTTATACTGAACTTCCCGTTCCTTTGCTGTCGACGGCCGCGATTCTTAGGCACAGGCAGCAGCAGCAACTTCACAATCCATGCAGATACCAGCCCTATCAGCGACTGCACCAGCCTCAACTTCAACATCCCGTCTTGGAACTGCACAGGTTGCAGAGAGAAGTTGAGCAGCACGAGGAGCTGGACTTGCATCCGGGCCAAACTCACATTTCCGCGCTTTACCCCGAAATACTAGCACTGATCTTTTCCTACTTAGACGTTAGAGACAAGGGTAGAGTGGCCCAGGTTTGTAGCAGTTGGAGAGATGCATCCTACCACAAGTCCGTCTGGCGAGGAGTCGAAGCCAAGCTGCATTTACGTCGCGCGAATCCCTCACTGTTCGCGTCCCTAGTCAAGAGAGGGATACGCAAGGTGCAGGTGCTGTCCTTCCGGCGGTCCCTTCGGGACGTCATCCAGGGCATACCGAATCTCGAGTCCCTCAACTTGAGCGGATGTTACAACGTTGCGGACATCGGAATCACGCACGCCTTCACGAGCGAAGCTCTTTCTCTTACAAATCTCAATCTTTCTCTCTGCAAACAGGTAACTGATAACTCGTTGAGCCGAATCGCCCAGTACTTAAAAAACTTGGAAGTTTTGGAGTTGGGGGGCTGCTGTAATATTACCAATACCGGTTTGGTTCTCATAGCCTGGGGATTAAAAAGGCTTAAGAGGCTGAATTTACGATCGTGCTGGCATGTTAGTGACCAAGGAATCGGCCATATCAGTGGATATAATCAAGATGCCTCCGGTGGAAATCAAATGTTGGAGTATCTCGGCCTGCAGGACTGCCAGAGGTTGTCGGACGAGGCACTCAAACACGTGTCGATCGGTTTGACTTCCCTTAAATCTATTAATTTAAGTTTCTGCGTTAGCATAACGGATAGTGGTTTGAAATACTTAGCGAAAATGAATTCTTTACGCGAACTCAATTTACGGTCTTGCGACAATATATCGGATATAGGCATGGCGTATTTGACTGAAGGTGGCTCGCAAATCACCTCGTTGGACGTTTCGTTCTGTGAAAAAATTGGGGACCAAGCCTTAGTACACATTTCGCAGGGACTGTTTAACCTTAGATCGTTATCTTTAAGTGCGTGTCAGATTTCGGACGAGGGACTCTATCGAATTTCAAAAACGTTACACGATTTAGAAACTTTAAATATCGGACAGTGTTACAGGGTAACCGACAAAGGCTTGACAAATATCGCCGAGGCCCTTTCTCGATTACAATGTATAGACCTATACGGATGCACCAAAATTACAACGGTCGGAATGGAGAGAATTATGAAGCTGCCCGGACTGAAGGTGCTCAATTTAGGACTTTGGCATGTCAGGTGAAAATGTAGAACTTGTTATTAGAATTTATGGTTAGAAACGAAGCACTACCCGTAAATACAGGTTTGCGTTTAGATCAAAGTCAAAAAAAAGTCACAGGTGCCATTTTTTTACAAATTCATATTCCATCACGGTCATCTCATGCTTGAGGGATCACCTCAAGGTAAAGTCGCCGTTTTGATTATAAAAGGTCAGTTGTCTCGCAAGAACAACATTTGTAATCTATATAATAACTCAAGGATTAAAATAACACAAGCGCGCCGCCGTGGTTTTCCTACCTTGCATTTTGAGTGGATTTTGGGCCCCACTGCCAATTGTTATTCCTTTCGGTTGCATGGCAACAATGTTCCCGCCTTTCAGTTAATCAATTCAACAAAATATGTTGTCCGCTATGGAAAATTAACATGCTTTGTTTTAGTTTATCGCGCTTCCTTATTAATGAAATCCCGAAAAAAACAATTACACGTTTAGCCTTCAGTAGTAAAATTCTTAGGAAAACTCTTAATTTCATTTGTATTGCTTTTAAACTACCTACTTAAGTTAATTGTTAAAATTCTTCAAAAACGAGGAATAAACGATCAAAAACTAAAAATAGAATTTCGGGCGAGATCCCTTTTCTCAATGTGCAACTGTTACAATTGTAAAAAGTGACATACACTAACCAACTGTTATTTAAATTATCGCCTAAGTTTTTTAAAGGCTTCCTCGCAAGCTCCTTGTGCTATTTATACGAAAATTTTTATGTTTTCTACTTTTTTAAGCGCGTACCTTGAAATTAAATTTTGAAATAGATGTAACCATGCGTAGTCGGAAGGTTGTTCTTTATTTAGTTGAGGTGTTTATCGAAATACACGCTGAAAAAGGTGACATGGCCGAACAACATTAGTTTTTTTGTAGCAGTAAAAAGTACCGAAATTTGTACAGTTTATCCGTTTGCTTTCGTTATTACCAAACTGGTCAGTAAAATCGACTGGGCGTATATAATTCAAGGGTTGTGTATATCACTAAATTACACAGTCATCAAAATAGTTTTTTTTCGTCGATTACACGGTTTATCTTTGTACACTCAGATTAGATAAAAATTTGAAGCGTTGCACGTGTAAGCTTATGCTTAAGATTAAGATTCTTAGAGAAATTTTCCAGATGACCCTTTCATGTATTCATGTATTTCTTCAAATTTTTGATCAGATTCAGTACAAATTTATGATGAAATGCTTGTAAAGTGTTATCTGCAAAACACAAACAAGATTACCAATGGGTCCCAAAAGTGAATTGTCAAAAAAAATTGTTTGTGCCCACACTCAAAACGTGCCGGTTAATGAAGCAATTGGAATTTACCTACTTAGTAAGTGTTAATGGTGAAACTGGAACCGAACAACTTTTTAAAGTAAAAAAAATTGAAATCTATGTAAAACTGTAAAAGTAGTTTGGTATAAACGCAGCCATTATATTTGAATTTTTAAAATTTATTTATCCACATTCATGAATTAATAATCAAAATCGATTTCTTTTGAAATGGTACCGTGAGAAGCCATCACGTTGATCTTTTGAACTTACTGTGTGGGTAGACAATTTCAAATGTTCATATTGATAATACGTTACCCTCCATCACAAGTAACAGCATCCGATATGATATTGGGTTTTTTAAAATATTTTTTTCGAGATTTTTGCAATATTTTTCTGCTGAGCAATGTAAAATTATTAAGTGGGATTCGCACCCATTTGGTTCTACAACTTAAAGATTAGGGCAGATTAGGCATTGGGTAGGTTTAGTAGCATTCGGTTGGTTCTATTTTCACCTCCTTCAAAGCTACAACCATTCTTGTTCAAAGCGTAGGAAAAGTTTTAAATTTTTACATACTTTCTAAAACTGGTGGTTCTAATTGTCAAATGCATTAATCCGTTGGAAAAGTATTTTTGCCCTTGATTTTTAAGTGGGCGGAGGTTTCAGCCAAGGCTGCTCCCCCAAGTTCCAACCCAACCCATTATACATTTACAAACATCCATGCCCGAACCTGGATTCGAACCAGATACCCTTGGTACCCCAGGAGCTTCAACTCCACTGCACCACACGAGCCGGTCATACTTAGCATTAACTTGAAATACTTTTACATTTAAGTAACTTTCATTTAAATTATTTTTTATTACTTGCTCATTTAAAAACGAATGTGTCCCCTTGTTATGCTTTTAAAATTTTTGAAATTGTTTTCGATTTTTAATACTTTTAAATAGTGTACCTAAATAGTTAAATTGTGTTCCGGTCTGCTTCTGTTTTTATTATTTCCAAAGGGCATTAATCAATACTGCACACAGCATTAATTTCCCTGCCTAAATAAATAGCCCTCCTCTCTACCGTCGGTCTTTTCATAGTAAATTTTGAATCCGATTAGTCATAGGGGACTAGTATCACTACAAAAAAATGTTTTAAACACATCGCCTATGTATCTAAATTATTTATCAAATTGTTGCAAAGTATTATTTCATATTAAAAAAGACGAGAAAAAAGAGGATTGGAATTACTTGTGAGGTGTTTTGTTCATTGCATTTGTTACCTATCCTCCAATATATTCTTTTCATTTTTAAACACAACCCCGAAATATTGAAAAACACACAAGGAAAAACACGAAAAGACGTAAGTTTTATTAACTGGAGGGGGGGGGGGTACTTTCAGTACAACGGGGCCCACCTGGGTGCCCACATTCAATATGCTTGCACTGTGTACGTATAAAGCACGTTTCCATTTCAATTAAAAAATTACCATTCTGAAATATGTGCGCGTGGTAAAGAGAACACTAGGTATATTTAAATCGTGTACAGAATCAATTACTTTCAGTAAAGATCGGTTCCTTTCGGTACAAGGATTAATTTTTGGAAAGATTCCTCAACATTTCTTAAACCCGCCACATACTGTTTTCCAAAATTGGATTTAAGTAGATATACATAAAGAATGCAACAAAATTTACAAATGAAAAGTAGGAATTTTGTGTTATTTTCTAGAAAAAAGTTCCACCGATGTAAGTATATCATAGTTACTCGCAGTGACGAACAGAAGAATCTCGAAAGTAAAGCCCATACTAAATCCCTTGTGCTACACACAACCAACATAGTAAGGGCATTTTTTTTAATTTCTGCCGTTTCCGTTTATAATATTTTTTATACATTTTTATTATAAATTATTACAAGGTTTTCACATAAATAATGCATTTTACTACCTCCACAGTTCTTGAAATAATTTTCGAGTTTCGGATACGTTTTAGCTCGTGTTTTAGTTTTGGAAAATCTGTAGGATATTTTGGAAACGTTTAAACGAGACCTCGGAAGAGACTTAGAAATGCAAATGTGTAAGTGGTTTTTAAATGTTTAGGAAATCTTTTGGTAACGTGAATGTCTTAAAATGTTTAGAAATTGATGGCAAAATGAGAGACATTTTTTGGAAATATCGAATGATCCAATTACTCCAATTTAAAAACTTTTAAAATATCTAGATAAGGAAATGTATGGTAAGCTTTTTGGAATATTTTGGAAGATTTACGCATCAATTGAATAATAATCAATCGACTGGTAATTGGAATCGAACATTTCCAAAACACTAGACATTCTCAAAAAAATTGCAAAACATTTCTCTGTGCAAATATCTCGGTATATAGACCTCATTTACAAAGTGATCTGATTAGGAATCAAGGTATAATCCACTTTTCTTTTGTTGTATACCGAGCGCATTTTCATCTTTAGACATTTCCACGTTTTCAAAATATCCTACACTTTTCCAAGATTTCCATAAAGTTTCAAAATAATCGATATTCTCAAAATATTGCCTGGAAAAAATCGAAATTTGTTGCTGTAATTATTCAAAATCCGAATTTGAACTAATAAACAAAAAATAACAATTTTTTTGAGTGGGATGTTATCATACTACCCATGTAAGAAAGAAAAAAGGTAGAAGCTGTTTGGTTTAGATATCTTGACGTAGAATCTAGTGGCGGAGTCAAAAAAAATTTGTACGACCGTTTCTGAAATTTGACGCAAAATTGGTATTTTTTAAATGTAACACCCTATATAGAGTGAGCAACAAAGATTGAAGCGTGCCGCTTCAGCTAAATTGGCAATGTGCCGCTCATAGCATATGCTGATTTGATACAAGATACGAAATACGAATAGACGCACGTCACTGTGACAGCGCAGAACGTCATTTTCGTATACAACTTCATACAAAGAAGGTAGTTTTGATATTAATAGGAACAAGCGGTGATGACGCACGCTTCAATCATTGTTGCTCACACTGTATAAA